TTAAAGAGACTGAAATGCCTGAAATATATATGTTGTTCTAATGAAAAGGCATAGGGAGTGGGAGGCAAACCAGCCAGGCCCTTGATCTTATTAATTTACCCTTCTTCACTGAAATAGGAGAAGCCAACCTAAAGCTGACAGATTTCTGGTCTTTAGATAAAGACATCCTTCCTAAGCCATTCTAGTACCACATAGAGATGCTATCTCACTCAAGCCATCCCCAGTCCTGCAAGAGATGCTAGAGAATGGAGGTCCTGTAATATCCATAGGCTAGAATTCAACTAACATTCTGACATTTTCTAAGAACACTCTTCTCTATCCTACTGAGAATGAGGAGAAACATCTGGCTGGTAGGAAAGAGAGAATATAATCAGAAAACCATTTTCAGAAGGCTAATATTCCCATCTATGCCAAGAAACTTGTAAGACAGCTACCTGGCCAACGGATTGGAGGAGATCCATATTTGTACCCAGTTCAAAGAGAGGTAACCCAACAGAATGTGGAAATCATAGTACAATATCATTAATATCACATATAAGTAAAATTTTGCTAAAGATAATTCAAAAACGGTTGCAACCGTATATTGACAGGGAGCTGCCAGAGGTTCAAGCTGAATTCAGACGGGGACATGGAACTAGGGATATCACTGCTGATGTCAGATGGATCTTGGATGAAAGCAGAGAATACCAGAAAGATGTTTACCTGTGCTTTTTTGACTATGCAGAGGCTTTTGATTGTGTGGATCATGACAAACTATGGTCAATATTGCGGAGAATGACTCTGCTGGAACACTTAATTATGCTCATGAGGAACCTGTACATAGACCAAGAGGCACTCATTTAAACATAACAGGGGACACCGAATGGTTTAAAATCAGGGAAAATGTGCATCAGGGTTGTTATTCTTTTGCCATACTTGTTTAATCTGTATGCTGAGCAAATAATCTGAGAAACTGGATTATATGAAGAAGACCGTGACATCATAGTCATGAACAACCTGTGACATGCAGATACGACAAGTTTGCTGGCTGAAAGTAAAGAGGACTTAAAATGCTTATGAGGATCAAAGACCACAACCTTCAGTATGGGTTTCACCTCAATGCAACGAAAACAAAATTCCTCACCAATGGACCAACAAATAACATCATGATAAACAGAGAAAAGACCAAAGTTGTCAAAGACTTCATTTTGCTTGGATTCACAATCAACATCCATGGAAGCAGCAGTCAAGAAATCAAACGACATGTTGTACTACATTGTACATATTGTACTATACTATATATATTTGTAGGCAAATTTGCTGCACAAGACCTCTTTAAAATATTGAATAAAAGAGACGTCAGTTTAAGGTGCCATGGCATTTTCAATAGCCTCATATATATATGAAAGTTAGACAACGAATAAGGAAGACTGAAGAAGAATGGATGCATTTGCGTTATGATGTTGGAGAAGAATATAGACTGCCAGAAGAAGAAACAAATCTGTGTTGGAGGAGGTATAGCCTGAATGCTCCTTACAAGCGAGGATGATGTGACTTTGTCTCTCATACTTTGGACATACTATCAGGAGGGACCAGTCCTTGGAGAAGGGTATCATATTTGGTAAAGTGGCGGGTCAGAGAAAAAGAGGAAGACTTCCAACAAGATGGACTGGCAACAACAATGTGCTGCATAACAACAATTGTGAGACTGACAGGACTGGACAGTGTTTTTCTGTTGTGCATAGGGTTGCTATGAGTCGGAACTGACTCAGTGGCACCTAATAACATCAACAACAGCAACAATATTCCCACATGTCATCATCACTCATGGAAGTAATTTTTAAATTGTCCTGTGAACGTTTTGTCTATTCTCTGACCCTTGTCTGTTCTCCCTACAACTTCTTCCCTCGTTCCCCCATGCCTGGATTGGTGGTGTTAAGTACCATTCAGTTGGTGCCAGCTCATAGAGGTCATGGTTAGTTGAGTGTGAACCACTGACTAGTGGTTAACAGTCCAGTGCTTATCCTATATCGCCACATCAGGACTCCATGTCTAGATGAAGAATTCAATAGTCACTTCTCTTGCTTTGGTCTCTGCATCCTCTCCTTGCTAATCTAGGCAGAGGGCCAGCAGTACATGCATCACCTAGAAGCTGCTTAGAAATGCAGAGTCTCAGGCCATACCCCAGAATTTGCAGTTTTAAGACTACATATTAAAGGTCAAGAAGCACTGCTCTAATTCACCTGCACTATCAGGCAAACCACGCCCTTTTCTGTTAAATTGATACTCCTGAGCCTATCTAACAAGACCTTAACTGGGGTAATCGAAAGTACTCCGCAGCCTTTCCACTCTTCCTAGTACACACTCGGGTGGAAAGCAGCCTGTTCTCCAGAAAGCACAGGTAGAACAAGTGGCACAGTCCTTAGCGGCTTCCACTAGCTACTGAATAAGCATGCATCTCCTTCCCTAGGTCTACTCCTCGCTACCAGCATCCTCATTGTGCTTTCAGCTGCTCCCTCTCTAAAATGCTAGCTCTTCCTCCCAGGAGCTAAAGTAAATCCTTTACTGAACGACTAAGAGTGTAGGCTCCAATGTCAAACTTTTACTCTTCTGCTTTGTGATTTAGGAAACCTACTTAACTTCTTGAATCCAGAGGTTCAAGCTGGATTCAGAAGAGGCCGTGGAATGAG